TTGGCTTAGTGTGGAATTCATGTCAGGCTGAGTCACGAAAATGGAGCCAACAAATTGGGAAAAGTGAAAAAGGTTGGGTTATGGAGACAGAGTCCCGTGTTCAAGTTACAGCTCTTCCAATTATTAGCTTCTTATGCCATTCAATCTTTCTAAACCTTAGTCTCTCAGGATAAAACATGTGGATATTCATACCTCACAGGGTTGTGGAAATGACTAAAACATACTGGACAGTACCTAAAACACACTGGGCGCTCAATAAATAGTACTTCTCCTCCTCTTTTCTTGAAGTGACTGAAGGTCCATAAATAGAAAATTGTGTAGGTCTACAGAAAAGGAAGGAGTTAGACGGTAAATATCCAGTGTGGCTGGGCTGGGCAGTAGATGAAAATTACAAATGCCTAGAATTAAGAAGTCAGGGAGTGGCGAGATCGGAAGCCACTGGTTTGGCTGGCTGTCCATAGGCATGGTCTTGGAGGTCACATAGAAAGTTACAGTGAGGAATATGGAATGGAATCCTGCTGGTGGAGGTCACAGCTCATTGTGAAGATCATTTTAACTGAAGGTTATAATAAGTGTGCCCCAGAATTAGGCAAAAAAGACACGAGAGGGTTAGGGGACAGGGGACAAGGTGAGAGAGAAATTGGGGAAATTTTCACAGAAACGGCAATGCGAGTTGCATCAAAGGTCATCAAATTTTTTCCCAAATGCAGTGAAAGAAAACCACTCTTCTACGAAAAGGGAAGAGTATGTGGAACAGAAATTAAGTGTGAAGAGTTTTAGGGGCCTTTTCAGCAAAGATGTCAAAATCACACAGGACAAAGGCAGGAATGAGGAAGACGGGGGGAAAAGAATGAGTCAGGGGCTGAGGTCACCTAGGATAACCTATTATTCTCGTTATTGTTTTTATTCTCTTCAAATTGGCCAAAACAAACTTTAAGACCAATCAAGAACAAATAGATTCTTATCGTTAGATTCTAACCCTAGTCACTGAAACTCAACATGCATTTACCATACACAGAAAACAACCTAATTAGGCAAATAAATATGCATGAAACTGGAAATGTTATAGCCCATATGCAAAAACACTTGCCCAGCTGAAAACTGGTAGGTGACATCCAGTTAACTGAGCTTAGAAGACCTTGACTGACAAATCAGAAAGCAACTCGTTTTTAAAACCCAGTATCATCTTCAAAAAAATTAAATGAGCTTAAAATAAAGTCATTAAGTTGGTAGGAATTAAAAATAAATTCATGCAAAAATCTTGCCCTGAAGTTTTAAAAATCCTGTTTTGCTAACTTTAGAACCTCCTCATTTTCAGTAAATTAGTTGGAACATTTTTGTTTGTTTGTTTCATTTTCTGTTTTGAAATCTTGGATGCTTGAAGCCTTCCCTTGCGGTTGGGACCTCTAATCTGACAGAGAGTGTGTATGGCTTAAGCTTCACTTGTATATTGGGGTGAATGAGGATGGGGTATACAGCAGTTATGCCTTTCTTAAACACAGTTTGAGACGCCCTTGTCTCAAGAGCTCTGGGAAGTCCTCTGAGAATGACATCATCACCAACGTGAATCATCTATAATATGTTCCACCTCGCGGAAGGAGAGGGACCTGAATACAGCACGAGTTAAGCTACACGGGGCAGAAGAGGTACCTGGCGTGGGGTGCTTTAGAAAACGTGGGCACCTACTGGCTCCAGGCTGTCCCATCAGGAGACAGGCAGGTTGTCAAGAAACACCCACATTGGTGAGATCTCAGGATTCTAAGATTTATAGTCCAGCAACCCCACTTCATAGGGATAGAAACACAGTCACGGGAAAGGATATCAGGTGACCCTCACCTGTCATCTGAGCCAGGAATGGAGCCAGAATTAAGAAACTGGTCTCCCAACTTTACCGTTCGTTCCTAAGCCCCCTTTACTAAACTGAAAGACACACACTTCAGGGGATGATCTGAAGAATCGCCAGCATACTGTGGTCTAAATAAAGAATGAAATAAACACCAGTTGCAACCTCAAATATGTCCATAAGCTGTAAGTCGGAAAGGTAGTTTTAAAATACACTTTCTAATTCTTTTGAACTAAAATCAAATTTGGGACGCCGTAGGAAGGCAGTTCAAACAAAAGCTAATTTTGTTTAATGAACTAACCAGGAAGGCATTGTGAAAGTATTGTGCAACTGAATGCTTAGCTAATTACTGTGAGATCAAATAACTGTTACCATGGTTACTGCACACTGTTTTCCATAATAACTTTTATCACTTCAATAAATCTTTGTGATGCAACAAATATAAAAAGTTTACTGTAACATGACTATAATGTTTTGGAAGGCACACACTGATGACTGACCTACTGAAATTACCTTCCCATATTTGTCAGTGAACAAGGGGTGATGCCCTATCTAGTTGACTCAGTGTCAAAATGTTTCAACGGCTCCTTGAAGAAAAGTCTGTAATTCATCAGAAGTTGAATTTACCTGGTCCTGTCATCCGACAGAAAAAAATCAGAGGGCTCTCTCAGCATCACATCTCGTCTTTGGGAATACAAATAACAGCAACCGTTTATGAAGCAGTAATTGTCAGGTTGCACGCTGGGCAGCTGACCGACGTCACCCTGTAATCTTTCCCACTCTGCTGTGGGAAGAGGATCCGGCTAGTGTCATCCAGCTCCCTCTTGGAAGACATTTCAACCCAGGTCAGTCTAGCTCCAAAGTCACTTTTCTTTCCAGCACACCACACAGCCTTATGTATATAAAGACAGACAGACAATTTCTATAATAACTGTTTTCTTGCTGCGGAGTACTGGTAAATTTGCACCGAAGTGCCATCGGAGGCTCCCTGACATAATGACTGGCTGGTCTGTTAGCTGGAATGATGTCATTGCTCCACTGGAAAATGGGCCTTCTTTCCCCGGATATACTGGAGTTAAGACTTGCTTATATTCCTATTCCTGGCCCCTCCCCGCCTCCACATAGGCAGGGCTGAGTCATCTGGTCACTTTCACTTTTTGCTGTATCTTGCTTGCCCTTTTCTGTATCTAAATGCTGAGATTTCTAAGTGAAATAGTAAACATGATCTAATAAGTTAAGACTGACAATGAACATGAGTATTGAGTGCGATAAGATAAAGGAAACTGCAGATGTAGACTTCAGTTCTGCCGAGGTGAGGCTGTAGAGCCTCGGGCAGGTTGGTCACTGAGTATCTCTCTGGGTTTTCCCATCTGGAAAATGGGGCAGTAATCACCTACTAACTCATAGGGATATTATGCAGATTAATTATTTAATGTTGTTGAGTTTTTTTTTGAAGACACACAGTGCTAAGTCATAATAATCATCATCAAGGTGAAATGTAAAACATACATATGATTAGAGTTATTAAAAAGCACAACCGGAAACCACTGTTGAAAGGGTATCCTACTGCAATAAAAGCAAGGATGCATCTTCCAGAACCCTGAAGCAGAAACCCTAATTCATGAACCCTGATTCATACCTATTCAGCACTGTTCCAAAGGTCGCAGTTTCAGAGAGGCCAAAAGCCATTTATTTCATGGTTGGTTTCAGAGATGAACAGGTCGGATTCATGTCCGGGACTGAATCAGCCTTGGATGACTCAGCTGCTGTAATCTCTCTCACGTTTAGAGATAGCCAAAGGCTGACTCTTCTGTCTTTTGTCCCCCACCGCCCCAGCATTTAAGCTGCAAACCTGTCCTTGACTCTCTATCCCGTCTCTGACCACCTCCTATCTTTTCCATTCAACCCGTTACTGCTACTTCCCAAATACCTCTCGAATTCAGTTCCGTCTTTCTGTGCCCACCTTAACAGTACCTTCAGGAAGACTTGTCTCCTTCCTGCCTTCCTGTCTCCAGTTTCCCCTCCTCCTTAAATCTGTTATAAGGATTTGCATAATCGCATATACTGTTTCCAGTTCATTTTTTACTTCTTTCCTTATCCTACTCTCCTCACACTGCTCTTTCTTACAGTTCCCGATGCTTACTGCTACTGTAACATCTACTACTACACGGTATTAAAATTTGTGTGCTTTGTACCAGATGCTGGTTCTGAAGAACCCCAAGGTCAGTGACTGGCCTTTACTTCAGCCTGGCACGAAGTGTGTATGTGCTCGATAAATGTTAAATGAATGACGGAGTGCATGAGCAAAAGCTTCCAGTGCACAGGTTAACCAGGTACACTGGTTAACTCTGCTGTGCCCTCAGCTTGGTAAAAGGCTCTTGACCGATTATTTTTAACTGCAGGTGATGACAGTAACTGATTCAGGATGTCTTGTTATGACGACTCAGTGAATTAAGTTGTCCTTTGTAATACGGAGCTACACAATTCAAGTTTGCCTGCAAGCTTTTCATTCAGTCCGATTCCATGAACTACTGCCAAGAAGCAAACACAAAGCATAAAACAAGAGCGTTAATGATTTTGTAGAAAGCTGTGATCACGGAATGTTCACATCTATCAGAACTCCTACTATTAAAAAAAAAAACCCTCCTCTTCCAAAGTTATGTCAAGGGACAGGAAAGAAATTAATCAAGCAGTAAGTGGAATACAGAGGAAGGCCGTTTTAGGATGGGATGGTTTTGTTTGCGCCACAGATTGAAGAGAAAAAAATGAAAGAAAATCAGTATTTTACTTCCTTGCTCTGGAATGCTACTAGACACATAAAACCAAGTCGGCCACATGTTTAAACCGGCTTCTCTTACTCAAAGTAAAAGAGCCAAATTTATCTTCATCTATTCTGGGGAATGAGCAAAAGCAGCCGTTAAGAAGCTCATATTCGGTGCGAATACAAAAGACCTCTCCCCAAATATCTGCTGATTAAAAAGATAAGTCTCTGTTGGGGCGCCTGGGTGGCTCAGTCGGTTGAGCATCTGACTTCGGCTCAGGTATGATCTCGCGGTCTGTGAGTTCGAGCCCCGCGTCGGGCTCTGTGCTGACAGCTGGGAGCCTGGAGCCTGCTTTGGATTCTGTGTCTCCCTCTCTCTCTGACCCTCCCCCGCCCATGCTCTGTCTCTCTCTCTGTCAAAAATAAATAAACATTTTTTTTTTTACAAAAAAGAATTGGACTATATACTGAAATATTTTTAAAAAAAGATGAGTCTTTGAGATTGATAAAACACAAGAGATTTAAATGTCACCTATCGATGGCAGTCTAAGGATTAAACTTCATTTGAAGTTCACACAATGGTCTTCCAACAGAATCACCTCTGATTTTAGCTTCTAACTTCCTGACACTCTCCCTCTTCTTGGATTTCGATTTTTGTTTTCTAAGCCCAAGTCTGTTCCTGCGATTACTCATTAGTTTTGGTCTCCAAGCTCCAGCACTGCGGGGCAACACCAGCCCTCCTGAAACCATTCCCTCCCTTGGCTCTGCTGCTCCTCTGGGATCCAGCAGTCCTCCATCACAGACCGTTCAGCCTCGAGTTCCCTTCTCTTTCTAGCCAATGGATGTGTGTGTCCATCTCAGCCCTCTGTGTTGCGTCTGCTAAAACTTCAACACTATATTGGAGTGTGCGACTTCTAAATAATTACTTTCAGCCTTCTTCTTTCTCCCAGTCCCAGGGCTGCACCTCCAACCACCTAAAGGATATTTTAATTGCTCATCACATCACTGCTTCAAAGAAAACATGTGTGAAATGGAACACACCATCTTTTCCTTCACTCGCAAACAGTTCCTTCTGCATTTGTGGGTAAAGATTCGCCATTCTCTAGGGCATTCATGATACAACCTGGGGGTCCCCCCTCCTTTCTTTTTGTTTTTTTAAATATTTATTTATTTTGGGGAGAGCACAAGCAGGGGAGGGGAGGGGAGGGAGAGGGGCACAGAGGATCTGAAGGGGGCTCTGTGCCGACAGGCAGACGGCAGCGAGCCCGACTTGGGGCTCAAACTCAGAACCACGAGATTATGACCTGAGCTGAAGTCTGACGTGCGACTGACTGAGCCACCCACCTGCCCCTCTCCTTCCTTCCAACAACCAGTCTATATGCTGGTGACGAATGCCAATGGCCTCTGACACATGGCTTGCAGTCTACCTTTTGAATTTAGCTAACTAAAAACAGTGTTCAAAATACTTACTGCTTTAACACACAAACTAGTATCGTCCCTGTCTCCAGTTTCTTCTCTTTCCTTCATCATGCCACCAGATTAAACCGTTTGCATATATAAACCTTTTTTTGGCATAGACTTTTGTTTATACCAAAAGTCTCCCGTAGTTTTAGTATCACCTGTAAGATATCCACTTCCTAGCACAGCATTCAGCTCCCTCAGCAATTTGGTCCTGACCCTGTAGTCTCACTTCTCACAATCTCCCATAAAAATACCACATGGATGGAAGCCTACAGACATGTTTGTGCTCACTAAAGGAAAGCAATAAAGAGAACAGATGTTCTGTCTGGTCCTCAAACCAAATGTTCATGGCCTTTGTTTATAAAGCAGAGTTCTTATCCGGTGAAATTCTCAGGGCCACGGTAACTGCTAACATCACTCCTCCTCCTTCTCAACAGACACTGCAGCATAAATAATTCTAAGGTCTGTTTCCTTGCCCTCAACTCCCTTCATCTCTGCTAAGACTTAGTTGCAAAAAACAAACAAACAAAACCCCCAAACTCTACCACTGCTGTCTTTTATTTTCCCTTCTATTTCTTTTTTAAAAATGTATTTATTTATTTTGAGAGACAGAGAGAGAGAGAGAAAACTGATGGAACCACCCAGGTGCCTGTCCCTTCTATTTCTAATCTCAAAACTTCCAGTACTTTCTTTTCTTGTTCACCACCAACCCCACCCCGACCCCTCCACCAACAGGTATACCAGACCTGAAATTCTCAAGGATGCTTGTAAAGTATTCAGAAGTAAGGCATGTATAAGGAAAATGATCTGTGCTTCCCGACAATATAGCAGGACCAATTGATAAGTACTTTAGAAGAACATGATCTTCAGAGAAAGAGATCATTTATACCTCCCTGTAGTCCCATGCGCCCTCCCGCCATAGAAGGTGAACACGGACAGTGCTGTTTGCTCATTACCATGGACTGTTTTCATTATCCGAGAAACTCACTAAAGAGCAAAGTCGGTAGGAATTTTGATTTCAGGGACATGCTGCTGAATTCCTTGTTGTTATTCTTTTAAAAAAATTTTTTTTTCAACGTTTATTTATTATTTTTGGGACAGAGAGAGACAGAGCATGAACGGGGGAGGGGCAGAGAGAGAGGGAGACACAGAATCGGAAACAGGCTCCAGGCTCTGAGCCGTCAGCCCAGAGCCCGACGCGGGGCTCAAACCCACGGACCGCGAGATCGTGACCTGGCTGAAGTCGGACGCCTAACCGACTGTGCCACCCAGGCGCCCCATCCTTGTTGTTATTCTAATCACTAAATCATTCTATAATTTGAGGGTTTAAAAAAAAAAAAAAAACCTTCTCTCCCTCAGCTCACGTAGAATTAGCTATACTCATACGTTCTTAATCTGAGTCACAGAATCTAGTTCTAAGCAAGGCAGGGATTTCATAGTGTGTTCCTGAGAGAAGATTCATCCAGAAATGTTTAGAAGTCAAATAACTTAAAACCATAGAGGGTACATAATTACATACTTACAGAAAAAAATATGCGGAAAGACCATGAGGGGGTAATAAAGAGACTCACATAACAGGGTTTAAAAGCAGAAGAAAAAATAAACGACGACAACAAAAGACCAACAGAGGCTCAGAGGCAAAGAAGATTAGGTATTTTAGGTAGCTGTGTGGTGTGACAGAAAGAGGCCAGAAGCCTTGCTCCCAAAGTAGGCTCTGCTATGGACAGGCGTATGATCAAGGGCATCTATCTGTGAGGCGGGCTGCATCCTGGGGGAGGTGAGGGAGGCAGCGGCCTGGGGGCCAAAGTGAAGAGAGTACACAGAAACTCACTAATCAGAACAAGTCCTATTTTAACGTGATATTGGAGCCATCAAAATGAATGCCCAAAAGAAATGCATGATGAACAAAGTAAAATTTTATGTTAGGACAGAACCCAATCCTGTACTTAACCGCACGACTCACCTTAATCCTGGCCCTGTCAGATCCTGCGAATCTTAATTTTTTAAAGACTGCATACAAAATGTTATTTATCTTGCCTATTGACTTTTTGGCAGCCTCTTAAACTCTGCGCCCCAGGCAAGTGCCTCACTCACTTCTCCCCAGCTCTAGCCCTGCTGCTGGTCTGCGATTTCTCATCTGTGCAACAGGAACACTGAAAACACTGAATCATCACTTTCTCAGGGTTGCTGCAAAGAGTAAAGGAGATACTTGCATGGGGCAAGGGACTGGAAGAGGTGGGGACATTTAAAAAATATTATTATTACTTTAGGAAGAATGGAGTCATGAGGCAGAAAGATGGCCCAATAAAACTCCCAGGAGGTAACTGTGGCCAGCTGTCCCGCTCCCCTCTCCTCTCCTGTGCCAGTGCTCTCTGGGCCTTTCGGTCTCTTCCGTGTTTCTCAAGTGGCTTCAAAGAAGAGCCTGCCCCATCCTGTGCCAGGCCTCATGGGCAGGTAGGTGCCACTGCGTGTAACAGACACAGAGAGGACTCAGCAGCGGGTATACCCGAGGTAGCTTCTTGGAATACTGATTGTATCCATTCTTCGGAGAATTATTATTATTTTTTTTTTTCAACGTTTATTTATTTTTGAGACAGAGAGAGACAGAGCATGAACAGGGGAGGGGCAGAGAGAGAGGGAGACACAGAATCGGAAACAGGCTCCAGGCTCTGAGCCATCAGCCCAGAGCCTGACGCGGGGCTCGAACTCACAGACCGTGAGATCGTGACCTGGCTGAAGTCGGACGCTTAACCGACTGTGCCACCCAGGCGCCCCAAGGAGAATTATTTTTTGAAAGGGACATGAATAGAGTAGAAAATCTAAAACAAAACAGTAGAGATTAGAACAGAAACTCCAGGCCAAGAGACACATGAAAAGATGTTGGGGGAGCCTGGGTGGCTCCATCAGTTAAGCGTGGGACTCAACGCTGGATTTCAGCTCAGGTCATGATGTCACGGTTCGGGAGCTCGAGCCCCGTGCTGGGCTCCACGCTGACAGCGCAGAGGCTGCTTGGGATTCTCTGTCTCTCCCTCTTTCTCTGTCCCTCCCCTGCTTGTGCCCTCTGTCTCTCAAAATGAACAGATAACTAAACATTTAAAACAGAAAAGATGCTCAACATCACTAATCATGAGGGAAATGCAAATCAAAACCATGAGATACTGCCTTAAACCCATCAGAACCGGTATGTGTTGGTGAGGATGTGGTGAAAAAGGAACCCTCATGCACTGTTGGTGGGAATGCAAACTGGTGCAGCCATGGTGGAAGAGAGTATGGAGGCTCCTCAAGAAATTAAAAACAGAGATACCCCAGGATCCAGTTACTCCACTAGTGGGTATCTGCCCAAAGAAAACAAAAACACTAATTTGAAAAGATAGGTGTGAGGCGCCTGGGTGGCTCAGTCGGTTAGGCGTGGGCTTTGAGCCCCGCATCGGGCTCTGGGCTGACAGCTCGGAGCCTGGAGCCTGCTTCGGATTCTGGGTCTCCCTCTCTGCCTCTCCCCCAGCATGATTTACAATAACCAAGATACTGAAGAAGCCCACGTGTCCACTGATAGATGAACTGATAAAGAAGACACGGTGTACATATACCCAACGGAGTGTTACTCAGCAATAAAAAAGAATGCGATCTTGCCATTTGTGACCACATGGATGCCTAGAGCATATTATCCTGAGTGAGGTAAGTCAGACAAGGACAAACACCGTATGATTTTATTTGCATATGGACTCTAAAACACAAAATGAAACAAACGAAAAAGCTGAAACAGACTCATAAATACAGAACAAATTGGTGGTTGCCAGAGGGGAAGGGAGCGGACAAAATGGGTGAAGGGGCGGTGGGTGGGGGGGAGGGGCGATCTGGGCTTCCAGCTACCAAATGCATAAGTCACGAGGATAAAAGGTACAGCACAGGGAACACGGTCAGTGGCAGTGTAACAGCGCTGCATGGGGACAGATGGCGCCTACACCTGAGATGAGCATACAGCATAGTGCAGAGCTGCTCAATCACTGCTGTATATCTGGGACTAACGTGACACTGTGGGTGAACTATACTATAATAAGATAAAACAAATCAAAAAGCTTAGGAAAAACCGAAACGAAGACAAGAAACTTCAGTGAAGCTTCCCATTTGTTGCGGGCCACTTTGGACCATGCCTCAGACTTCCTGGGAGCAAGTCCTTCTCTGTCTTTTAGGGCTTCTCTGGAGAGAGATCAGGCACTCCTGTGGGGCATCCGTCACAGTCCTGGTTATTCTGGTCCATGTGTTCATCTGACAAACACCTAGAACACCCAGTTATGTGCCACACACTGGAAATCTGGAGATGGATAAAGTATAGCTTCTATCTTCAAGAGGCCATCTGGGGGCACCTGGGTACCTCAGTAAATTAAGTGTCTGACTTTGGCTCAGGTCATGATCTCACAGTTCATGGGATCAAGCCCCACGATGGGCTCTGTACTGTCAGCACAGAGCCTGCTTCGGTTCCTCTGTCCTCCTCTCTCTCTCTCTCTGCTCCTCCCCTGCTCATGCTCTCTCTCTCTCTCTCTCTCTCTCTCTCTCTCTCTCTCTCTCTCAAAAATAAACATTTTTTTTATATATATAAAAAAGCCATCTGGGATTATCAGAGTATCAGAAGAGCTCTATACGGCAGGCTGAGGCTTCTATTTATTCAAAACATTTTTAGTGAGTCTGTCATTAGGCACTGTTCTAGGCAATGGGAAATAGCGGTGAGTGTAACCCAATAATCTCTCTGTAATGTAGGACTGATATTTCAGAGCAATTCTTGAGTTAGTCCAAAACTGGGTTTGCTCTAGGGAAGCTTTCACCTCTCGTCTCATCCCAGAGCATCAGTGCGGTAGACCTAACACTTAGCAGTGTATCAAACGTGAAGCTAGAAGTAATTTTTTAGTTTCCTCACAAGATGATCTCTTCCATGATCCAAAAGGGATACAAGGGATGTCTAAGAGACAGGGCCCCTGGAAACATTATAGGGCCAACTGGACACCTCTGTGCAAGTCCTTAGGAAGCTGCAATTAAGGTAATGATTTATATTTGGCCACTTTGAAGACAGATGCCATCTTATCCCTTATGCCTCTCTCTGCCCACTTAGTCTGAGCACTTAACCAATACTTGTTGATTTCATGTAGTGTAATACTTGCAAACATGTTTTACCAGCTATAGGCATCACTCCCACAGTGACATCTCTAGAAACTCTATGCCCCATGGATGGGAGATAAGGTAGTAGTACATGTGGAAGAAATGGTTTAAGGCTGTCCATCATCTACATACTGATCTGGTTCAGGAGAACAATAAAAACGTACTCATCCTTAATCCTGTCCAAAGCGGCAAGAAAATGGTCCAAACCACTATCACAGTCACGAGATTATCACATCTTTACTCAATGCCTGATAATTTTCAAATCTCTCTCAAAATCACTATTTCATTTCATTACTTTATTATTACTATCTTATTTCATCTCATCACTATTTCACTATCACATCAAAGCTATGAAGTAAAGAGGGTGAGCAAGATGATTTCAGTGATGAGGAAACAGTCACAGAATCGGTCTCACCTAAAGTCCCACAGATTACCAGGGAGTTTAAGAAAGCACTTGGACCCCCACTGTAGCATTCACACCATCACAACCAGCCTGTGCAGCTGTTATAAGCATTGACTGCTCAAGTTTCAAAGCGCCTGGCAAAGAACAGGCACAAATACGGGCTTCCATATATACCTCTGTTACCCCCGTGTCTACAGCAGTATTCGGTGAATTAATACATGAACAATGAATGGATGAATAATAACAAACAGATGCATGAGGGGCCGGCAAAACTGAAGGAAGGTCTGATTCGTACTTGAGGTATACAGATAGCAGCTTTCACAGAATTACAAAAGACTGATTTCACAAATGGTTTTCAAAAGCTTCTGAGTTGCTTTTATAAGTTGCCTTACCTGACTGGCTGTAAAGCTAAGTAGGTGAATTTCCCTGACCTATTTTCAAAGCTAATCTTTAAACCCCATGCTTACAAAATCATAAGGACCAAATATTTGTTCTGAGAAAACATATAATGGCTCAGGCAAGAAGAAATTTAAAGAGTAAGTACCGATTAAATTCCCAGAATTGAAGATACTAATAAAAGAGCTGTATCAAAAGACCTCATGTGTGATGAACCTCCAATGACAGCTTTAGCTGCTATTTCTCAAAAGCTACTCAAGTCACAAGCCCAAATGCATAAGAACAGTAAGAGCAGAGGACAGAAGCTAAATTAAAAAAGCAAAAAAACCCCGATGTTTCCATAAACAGTAAAAGCCTATGATACTGGATCCAGACTACACGTGAATATCAAGTGCCGTTTTCTGGTAGAAAAGAAAAAAAGTCTAGCATTTCCAACCTTCCGAACTTGACCACCTTCGCACTCTCTCCCTAGATGAATGAAGCTGGGGTTCAGCCTGCATAAACTCGCTCTTGCACACCATCCAGCCCAAAAGTGTCCACATAAATGTTACACAACAAACTAGGTAAGTCCACAGAAAACTGCAGGTAAGGACAGGAATTCTGTGATAACTACGGAGTACTTTGGTTGATTCACAAAACAGTGATTTTTCTCCCCTTCGTTACTGAAATGTTAAGTACCAGGGGTTTCTTTACCAGGGCTATTGCATGCTTTTCTCTGTAGGCTCCGTTCAACACATGGTGCTCCTCTGCACACACACAGGATCATTCACCTGTGGGATGCGGTGGCCATGTTTTGTCTTAAAATATCTGTGCTGTAGGGTATATTGGGAAATAAACATTTAAACCATGACAGTAGATAAAGGGGCTCACCTAGATCTAAATCCTCATTTTGGAAAGGAAATTCAAGCCCAGAGAGTGAATTATCCCTGGTTCATTACCGAACATGTGAAGGAACCAAAAGGACTCCAATCCAAATCTGCTGAGGGAAGCAGGCAGAACGGGTGGGATGCACACAAGTGCAGTCGTATGTTATATACATGTGCAGTCATATACATACAATATACACTTAGCCCAGTGCATCAAAGCAACCTGTCCCAAACTGTAATCATCTTTTTGCTACAGTGCTGTTTTGATGGAGTCCTGCTACTCAGATGACTTCATCTTTGATTTTAACCCTCCTGGTTCTATTCTGAAACATGCATTTTCACACTGGGCTGACACCACTGACTTAGCCTGAGGAATCAGACTCTCTCAAAATCACATTCAGGGGCCCACTCCCTTCCACCCCACTCCGACTTCCACAGAGAAATCTCCTTCCATGTTCCTTGACTTGAAACCCCAAACTGAGAGTAGTGTTGTAGGATGCATTCTAGCTCTGGCCTTGACACTGACATTGGCCTCCGGAAAGTCACTGACACGTTCTGGAACATTTTTAATGAATTATTTATTGAGCAACTTTCATGGTAAATATTATGTATCTGGCACTGAACTAGATACTTTATATATAGTATAGTAATAACGCATTTCTTTTTTTTTAATTTTTAAAAAACGTTTATTTTGAGAGAGAGAGAGAGAGAGAGAGAGAGAGAGAGAGAGAGAGAGAGAAAAGCAGAGAGAGAGGGAGACACAGAATCCAAAGCAGGCTCCAGGTTCTAAGCTGTCAGCACACAGCCCGATGCGGGACTCGAACCCACAAGCTGAGAGATCATGACCTGAGCCGAAGTCAGATGCTCAACTGACTGAACCACCCAGGCACCCCTTTCAAAAAAATTTTTAATGTTTTTTTATTTTGACAGAGAGAACAATGAATTTTCTAAAAGCGATGGGTACTCTGGGATATGATCTCACCAGATCCTCTTCCCCTTCCCCTAAGGATGGTACAAGTATTCTTTCTATTTCACAAGTAAGGAAGCCAAGGCTTAGTTCTCACTTCATTCTTCCTATTTGAAAGTAGAGGATCCTGAGGCTTAAAGAATCCTCACCCAGAACCTGCCTAACATAACTAGCTTACTAGTGACTAGCCACTGAGTGGCTAGGAGGTGGCGGGGCCAGGATTTGAGCCCATGTCTAGACAACCTGAGTCCACCATGGTGGACGTTGTGAGGCGCCTTCCAGATGCTCCTCAGGAATGAAAACAGCCGGAGGGCTGTGGCCGGCAAGTCCTCTGCTCCCAGCCCCCTTTGGAGACCACTTTAGTTAAAAGAGAGTTCCTTGGGATGTCTGGGTGGCTCAGTTGGTTGAGCATCCGACTCTTGATTTCGGCTCAGGTCATATCTCACAGGTTGTGGGGTCGAGCCCCACAACTGGCTCTGTGCTGAAGGTGTGGGGCCTGCTTGGGATTCTCTCCTTTGCCCTCTGTCCCTCCCCTGCTAGCGCGCTCTCTCAAAATAAACAAACATCAAACACACACACACACACACACACACACAGTCACCTTACGCAAGACCATGCCCCTTCCGAGAGTTGACTGGCATCTGATGGCTGCTCAAAGAGGTATAAGGGCCTGGCTTTATTTTCCCAAGTCAGGAACAGCTCTGAAGGGTCATCCACCTTCAGAACTCCCTGCAGGGTCTGCTGACGCTTCTGCTGAGATTGTATCATCAGCTTGACTTCTCTCTCTGCCCAATCCTCCTCCCTTCCCTTCCCTTCCCCAGGTGTTGATCCCAAGATCACTCCCTAGCAAACTTCTGCATCTCAACCTCCAACTCAGAATCGGCTTCCCAGAACACCCAACCTGCGGTATCTGGGTTCTTTCCACTTTACCAGGCTGCTGCCTCAGCTGCTTCATCTGTAAAAGGGGAGGTTGGTTTAGATGAGCCCCGTTTAGCTTCGGCTCCCAGACTACAGTGTGGCGTAGCTGAAAAAAGTGAAAAGTTACAAGATCTGATTTCTATTTTTATTTCAGCCGCTTACTAGCAGTATGACCTTAACCCCAGAGATTCACTAACATTATCTACCCTGTCCTTCTCTCAGGGTTGTTGACAGCATCAATTTATTTTCAACGTTTTATTTTTATTTTATTTTTGGGACAGAGAGAGACAGAGCATGAACGGGGGAGGGGCAGAGAGAGAGGGAGACACAGAACCGGAAACAGGCTCCAGGCTCCGAGCCGTCAGCCCAGAGCCCGACGCGGGGCTCGAACTCACGGACCGCGAGATCGTGACCTGGATGAAGTCGGACGCTTAACCGACTGCGCCACCCAGGCGCCCCGAAAGCATCAATTTATAAACTATAAAGCTTGCATTAAGATAAGCCCTATTTTCATGAGGATTATCACTGTTAAATTTGTGGGAGGAGGAGAGCAACAAGGGATGAAAATATGGCTGTTCTATGATTCTGGGGAGACCCAAACAAGGTCCTTGGTACCCCGCTGCAAGGCCAGTGGCTGCCCTTGCCCAGAGGGAGCCCCCAACTCAACCAGGGTCCACATCGTTGCTCTGAACATCAGGAATCCGTCCCGACTGGTGCAGGACTCTCACTTCCTCTTTACAAAGCTCTGTGAGAAAGCCAGAAGCCGCTGGGGGCCATTGGTCAGGCGTATCCCCACAATGCCTTGCACAAAAGATACGTCAGGTATTCTCTTCCAAATAATTCCCTTCCGTGTGTCACCTCTGGCCACCGAATAAAAGGAAGTCCCATTACCACCCCATGCCCCCAACCTCTCTCCTTTACCCCAACGTCTTACTCTTTGGCATTTTCTCATCTGTGGCTTTTCTCATTCTTGATTCCTTTCCAGATCTTTTCTACTTTGCCTTTGGGAATCCTGATGTCATTATTAAAAAAAAAAAACAAAAACAAACAAAAACAAAGCAAATCATTCCCCAGCTTTACCCAGAGTGCTCTATCGCCCTGCTGTAAACAAAACGCCGTTCTTCCTGGAGGCTCTGCTTCCTTCTCTGTGGAAACTGAAGATCATGGTCGAGACTGCACATTTTCCCCACTTCTGCAGCCAAAGGGGCCAGTTAAGGGGGGGGGAGGAGTGGGTTGGAGATGAGGGCATTCCCTTGGATAAAATCAACCATGCAGACGGTTGCTGGTACAAAACTATCATTTCCAACATCGTGGGGGCCTTCAGGGTCTCCTGCCATCCCGCTCGCCTACTGCTAGCCAGTCCTTGCTTGCACTTCTTTAAAACGTTACTCTAAAACAAGTCCCTCTCTTCCATGCAGCTATTAATCCCGCTTTGCTCCCTTCTCTTGGTGCACAAACTTGTCTATTTCACAGAGAAAAATAAAGTCCATCAACTCTGATCTTCAGTTTCCCGTCCTCCTCCTATAAAGTTACATCCATCTATACCCACCCTTCCTGTATTCCTCCAATCTCAAAGGACTGCCCTCGATCCTATGCCCTTCTGTCTCCAGGCAGATGTTACTGCATGAATCACATCTTCTTACTCTTCTCTCTCCAACCACTTCCTTTCACTAGCCTCAATTCCTCGGCTCATAAAAGCATTTACATTTTCCATCCCGCCGCCCCCAAGCCACCACCATCACTACCACACCTCCTCATGCCCTGTGTTCTTCTCCAGTTGGTCTCTATTCCCTTGGCTACATGACCGGCGTCTACTTTCCAACTTCCCATTCACTCACCCATTTATTCAGCCTGGCGAAAGTCAGAAATGCGTTCTCATCTATCCCTAGAGCTTACTGGACTGGTTGCTTACATTTGACACAAAAGATTTACTGCCTATCTGAAACGACTTATCTGGTTACTGTGACAACTCCTCCGTTCTCCTGGAACTTCTCGTATCGTTCTTTTCCAAATCTTTTATGAGCTCCTTTGACCACCTTTTATTTATTTATTTATTATTTGTAATATTTATTTATTTTGAGAGAGAGGCAGAGAGAGAGAGGGAGAGGGAGACAGAATCCCAAGCAGGCTCCACATTGTCGGTGCAGAGCCCGACGTGGGGCTCGAACTCACAAACCACGAGATCGTGACCTGAGCTGGACACTCGACCGACTGAGCCACCCAAGCACCCCCCCCACCCACCCCGTGCCTTTGACCACCTTTTAAATGTCAGGGTACTGCTCTCAGGGTTTTATCTTCCATTCTCTTTCTCATTCTTCTCCTGAGTGAGCTCATTCAACAATAATTCCAACTGTCAACTCTATGACAGTATCTGTCCCAAATCTTTATTTGTAGCTTAAATCTCCTCTAGTTTTTGACTTTGCTTTAAATTTTCCGTTGCCCCCTTCTAGTGGCACCTGCATCCAGCCGGTCACCCAACTTAGAAACCGGAAAGTCTTCCTTCACTTTGTCCTTTCTCCCCCAGTTAGTTACTAAACATTATCTTCTTACCTCATACTTTCTTTCTGAACCCCCTAAATATTTTTTGAATGTGTTTTCTTTCGCTCCTCCCCATCACTGCACTGTTAACGCAGTGTCATTGTCCTTGCCTGAACCACTGCAGTGGTCGCCTAACCCTAGGAAGGGTTCGTACCCTCAAAGTCCACTTGGCCTACAGTTCCACAGAAGGATCCATCTAAAACACCAATGTGACCAGATGGCTCCCTCCAACACTACCTGAGGCAATACCACCACCACCAGACTGACTGAACACGATATGCCTTCACTTAGCGTACAAGGACCTCCAGGACTCAGACTCTGCTAATCTCTCGGGCTACATCAATCGGTGCTTCCCATCTCCGACGTTATGCTCCAGGAACCCCTAAGGGCCCCTAATTCCTCATGTCCATCACGCCACTTCGCGCCTCTGCTTCTGATCACACGGTTGTCCCTTCTGCCCAGAGCACCTCACCCTCCGTCCCCCCCAGCCCCCCACCTGGCTAACTCTTCCTCAGGATTCCATTCACTTGTGCTCTCATTGAGGAAGTCTTCCTTAATGCAGAAGGATTACCCGTCTCTCGGCGGTGTTCTGGGGATGCCCCGTACATACTGCTGCCGTTGTAACACTATGCTGCTTCAAAATTGCTTGTTTGTGTGACGACCACCTTGCTCCACCAACAAAACCTGGGGACCTGACACAACAGTCGCTTATTTCTGTTCAGGAATCTGCAATTTGGGCAGGGCTCCGTGCGCATGGCTTGTCTCTGCTCCACACAGTGTCCGCTGGTGCAGCTCTCCCAGGGCTGGAAAATCTACTTCCAAGATGACTCACTCACTGTGCTGACGAGCAGGTGCTGGCTGCTAGTTCCTCTCTGCCAAGGTCTTTCCACAGGGCAGTTTAGGCTTCTTCACAGCGTGGTAGCAAAGTTCCAAGAGTGAGTGTCTCAAGAGACAGGAAGTGGAAGCTGATAGTTGCTTAAGGCCTCGGCCCAGAAACTGAACAAACCTTCTGCCACCGTCTCCTGTTGGGCAGGCACAGAGTGCAGATTCAAGGGGAGAGGGCACAGCCCCATCAACCGATGGGAGGAGTGGCCAAGAGCTTTGGGAGCCATGTTTTAAAAGCATCACATTCCCCTACTGGACTGCGTGAGTCATGGAGTCACAGACGTGGCATGGACCTGCTCAGCGAATGGGTTCATTCCTGGACCAAACTGCCTACACAGAACTTCACAGTCGCAGTCAGTCATTTGCACCACGGAGATTCTATTCCAGACAAGTCGGCCCCATC